GTGTGTGTGTGTGTGTGTGTGTGTGTGTGTGTGTGTGTGTGTGTGTGATGTCCACTAGCGCCGCGTGGATTTATGTCTCCAACTAAAAACGTGATTTCACTTTCCCGCATCTGCGCTTGGCCACCCTGCCAGTGACGTTTCAGTCGTACATACACGTGCGCAGAAGTTAATTAATGGATTAAACGTGACGAAAAGGTGGAAGACCGAACGTTGAGATGTGCTGTGACAAGAATACAATTTTTGATGTATAGAGATGAAGAGTTCGAGACGCGTTACAGCGTTCGACTGCATTTAACAGGACTCGGAACAAGGGAATCGATAAATGTGAGTTCGAATTGTAGAAGAAAGTCCAGACCGTAAACGAGAAGAAAATGAGTGCTGGCGAACATAAGGGTTGCGAGATCGAAGATATCGAAAATTCGGATGAAAGTGACAGACCATCTGGGGAAAGATGGGCGCCAGTTGGAGCGAACGACGGTGACAATGATTTCGCCTACGAATATAAATATGTCGATAATATGGAGAAGTAAGTAATTAATCAGTTTAAGACGTAACGATATTATTTACTTACTGTCACTTACTAACGTTCTTACCAAATTATTCAAATTGTCTGTATGTTATACTAGTTTGTCCTATGACATGGAAAGGCTAAAAGTGCTCGAAGAGGAGCAAGAGATGCTTAATTCGTCCCTTATAGCACTAACTACTCATTTTGCCCAGGTGTTAATATGTCATAAAGTTAACTCTTTATGTCTCTAAGAATGTATAATTTTAACACAAATATTACATTGTAGGTTCAGTTTCGTTTACGACAGATCGTGGATGCACCTGCTAATGAAAAAGAAACATTGCTCAAAGAATTAGAAGAGTTTGCTTTTAGAGGGATTCCTGATGTTCCAAATGATTTGTCACTCGATAGTAGATCAATTACACCAACTTCTCCAATATCCTGCAAGCAAAGCGTAAGCTATACTAAAGTCTCTTGTATTGGTATTTTAATTTTTTAGTAGCGTATTACTTGTTCATACAATTCACTTTGCTTGTACAATACCGACATGCATACAAGTTTGTGATATATATTTTATTTTCTAATAGCCTTTATCTATATCACTAGTTTATAAGGAAAAGTATTATTTATGTTGTACTAAGAAATAAAAGTCTTTTTATGCATTGTTTTTAGTATATACTTATATTATTTTAATGCCGTGGCTTTCAGTTTTCATTTGATACTTTAGCCATTACTTCTGCAGGGCAGAGGGCACTTAAAACAAGCCACCCAAATAACTCCTTTACTCTTGGCGATAAATAAATACTTCAAAAAAATCTTGCTAAATTTTAAGGGAAATATAAATAGGTAAAATAGATGGTTGGATGCTTAGTATTTACAATTTCACAGATATCTGGGGTAATTAATGATGTTGATGTTGAATCTAAAATGGCACTGCAAAGAACAAAACAGAAAGAACTGATTTGTCAGCTAAAATCTCAATTAGAGGACCTAGAGAAATATGCCTATGAAACTGGTGATGCAGATTTACCGCAAAGCATGATATTAGAAAGACAGAGTATCATAATCAGTAAGTCTTTTCAAAGTATGTACTTGTTTGAGTAGCCTCTATAGTGACTTTGTCTTTTCCAGATCATTTAAAAGAAAAGTTAAATTTTAACATTGACGACCTCTGTAAATTACCAGTTGACGATTTAAGATGGCAAGTAGATTATGCTATAAGTCAGGTAAATTATTTTAGCAGAATCTGTTAACAAGCGAATTTTCATAGATGAATTAGAAAGGATTAATAAGTTCTGTTTGCAGATCGTTAGTCCTTTAAAAATGAAAGAACAACTAGTTTCTCAATTGAAAACACAAATTACAGATTTAGAACGCTTTATAAATTACCTGCAGGGAGAAGTTAGTACAGAAACTTTGGCGTGTACTTGTGCTTGTCCAATACACAGTAGCGGTTCTGCATCTTCTACTTCGTATGCTAAGAAAGCATTTAATAGGAAACCAATAGAGGAAGAAAGCACAACTAAAACTCTTAACACTGTTAAGAAGGTTGTGGCTCTGTTGCACATGTTCTTAGTGTCTCAATTAGGATGCGGTAGCGAACGGGTGCGAAGGAACTTCAAGAAAAATTCTTTACATAATTGGCGTGATATAAGAACAAGATTAGATATTGCAGTTGAACACGTCATAGAGACTATCGCAGACAGTGAACGTCATCCAGAAGACGATGATAACGAAAATGATTACGCTTCGGATTCAGATTCCACGTCGCATTGTAACGCCAGAGTAACGTCTGCTGTAAGGAAGCACCTAGCAACTTCCATACGTGATTTAATGCAACATGGTTTAATGTCTGATGTGCGTTCTAATAGCGTAGTGCCATTTGTGGGTTGTTTTCCCCAAAGAAATTCTTCTACTACTAATTTAATGCATGCATGGGAATTAATATTGAAATATTATGAAATTAAAAATGGTCATCGTTACAATTCTAGTCCAGCACAGAAATTATCCCAAAGTTTTAACCTAGATCTTGCTGGTGGAAGAATGATATCTTCCAAACAGGTACCCATAATATAGTTTTAACAATGGTATCCTTTAGTAACGTGCATGTCGTAACAGTGTATTCAAATTTCCAGAGCTTACTAACAACTATTGGAAACATTATTGCTTCGCATAGTCCATACAAAAGAAGCTATGATTCCCATTTTAAAGCATTTATATGTGCATCCTTAAAGTAAGTAAGCACATCATTAGTTTTTTTCATAATGACAAGAGTTTAAGACTCATTGTTGATATATTCTAGTGCTAACAAGCTTGTTACTTGGTTGAAACTTATCCTGCAATGTCAGTATCTTCTTGAAAATCATTATATGTCCTGGAGTTATGTTGTAAAAACAGGTATATTAAAATATTTATATGCGGACTATCGTCATCGTAAAGATAACCTTACGATTGCAATACTTGTTTGTTGTTATTGTTGTGAACAGGTTTCCAAGATGCTTTTCATACTCTCGACCGTCTTACCAGCTACAAATTTGATTTACCAGTTGATCTGGCCGTAAGACAATTTCAAAATATAAAAGATGCATTTTGATCGCAAAGCGAATCAACGTTCACATTTAAGCGAGCATGTAGGTAGACACTTTTAATAAGCGAAGTACTCGAGATACCAAATATTGCAAACAAGTAAATAAGAAACAGTATATTTTAACCTTATGTTGACGTTATAAAAATGTATTTATTACCTTTTATTGTTTCAAAATATTCTTTAGTAAAAAACATTACTTTCTCATTCCCTGAGTACACGTTAGTAAAAGTTTGTTATATCGCGATAATGTAACTCTAATGATTTGAAGTATCAGTATTTCGGAGCTTCTCAGAGTTTGGATTTTAAATTATTTTATTGTGAGAACGTAAAGTATTATCGTTCTATAAAATCTGAAAGAAGATAATTTGTTGTGTACGGAGATTCAATGGCGAACTTATAATATATATAACGTACAGCACAGGTATAAATGCAATGCTGCCTGATATAAGGACTGAAATATATTATGTACCTAGTTATTTTGAAGTACATTTTCGGATATTGCACGTCTTCGATAAAATAGTACATCTGCGATACTAAAGGTTTTATTTATACCTTTTAAAAAATAGTCTCGTAAATTTAAATCAAGTTTATACAACTGAAAAGAACGATTTTCACTGTGATGAAGATTAATGAGAGTATAATACTGAATTTTTTCATAGTAACGGTAATGAAAGTCTTGTTATTCTTTACTAGAAAATCAATTGAAACCAAAGAATCAATCTCTTTTTTTCTTTTTAGTATATTATTCTATAATCGAAATGAGTATATTTTTTTTACTTTATAGTTTGAGCACCATAAGTAGAGTTAGTGAACGAATAATTTCGCAGTAACATATCATTCAAACAGTAGCTAAGTCTAATAACATATACCAATGTATGCCATGAGTAAACTTTGATGTTGTAATATATTGTCAACATTTTATCTTGGTTATGTTTTGTAGAACTTTATAATTGATACGTGTATTTATTTACACAGTTATATGCACATATTGTTCATATATTGATATAATTGTGTAAGTAAAACTTTAGTTAGCCATAATTGGTAAAAGAAAAGTTTAAAACAGATTATATTTGATCTTGTTTTACTGTACAGTGAACCGAACAAACTTGTATAAACCGTTAAATTCGTCTATGCAGTTACAAGTATGAATATTATAAATATTATAAATATTTCTTTCAATGGTACAACACATGCTTCTAATTTTATGACTATTGAATTACACCACTTGAGAAAAAGCATACAGGTTCCAGACTCTACATATATAATAATAGAACACATGTATTATTTTTAAATAGTTAACAATTTACCGAATATATATATATATACATACAGTTACATGCAACCATTGTATCGCGTGTATGATACATCACATGTAAGATAGTTTTAAGGAAAAGTCAAATGTATTATACAATATAAATATCTGCTTTTTATATACGTAATAATTTGACATTAGTTTATTGAGAAAAGATATGCAAAAATATATTTATGAAACAACATATTTCGTTTAATAATATAATACATCCCAATATTCCATTTCTTGTGAAAGTAAAGAAGAAAAAAACGACAAAGTACATGAAATTGGTTGTTTATTTCTTGTAAAAGTTGTACATTAGTAAAAGTTTTATAGCAGTTTCTTTTTCAACACGTTTGTAGTATTTCATTGATAATTCCTCGATACTTATAGTAATAAAGTATGTCATTTTTTTCTAATTTTTATTTGAATATGATTCTTTATAGTAAAATAAAAGACAACATATAAAATTAGACATCGAAATTTTTCGATTATTATTTACTTTTTTAAATTTTACTTCGGTACTTGCGAATTTCATTTTGAATTCAAAATAGACTATCGAGGAATCTCGATGTTCTTTTTAGTGACAGGCTAGATTATAGTTTGTTGTAAGTATATAAAATTCAGAATAGAGTCTACATTGTCAATAACATATTTGAACTCAACGAATTATATACTTAATACCAGAAGTTTCTTTCTTGGTCATGGACAATACGTATTACGTACGTATTATCGTAATATATCACGTACAACACTACTTATACAGGATACAAGTACACAGATGTAAGAGCACAAACTTGGTAAAAGTTCTTCTTCTCTTTCACGATATAAAAGTCTTATATAAAAAAGTTTATGGAAGAGCATTTGGATATTGCATTCACATTTGTTTTGCATGTAGTATATAATATTTGTTAATGCTCAACCAAGATTAGACTGGAACATAAGACATTCGTGTGCCTATTGCAATGCAAGTTCAGTAGATGGCTTTAAAAATCAAGTAGACGATGACATACATTAGCTATACTTATCTATGTACTTAAGAATAGGATACAACATTCATAAATGAATACATTGTGTATAACACATAGAGATTGTTACGAAAATACTGATGAATGACATATTTATTGGAATGCAGATGCAATGACAAAGAGACATAATTAGAAGCAAGTTTTAATATCATTTAAAAAAAAATACCAAATTGTATCACATAATGGGAATAAAAGTTAAGTATAATTATTAGAAAAGTTAAAACTGAATTTCTTTTCAGTCATGATATTTTTATGGAAAGATCTATCAAAACTATATTATAGGAAAATGCGTTTAGTTATACTGTATATCCTATAGAACATATAATATTTTAAATCAATGCTATGTTACAATTAAAACATTCATTTAAATATTGTTTACAGCACGATAATTATTTTACTTTCAAACCTTATGTATAACAGTTGCACATTATACGCTCACTTAATGGTTCTTTTTTTTTACTGTAACATTCGTCATAATAGTTTTTCATTGATATTTTTCATACATTAAATAGGCTATGTTTTTGGTACAGCAACGATCTAACATCTAACAATCAAAGTTAAGTTACGTGTAACGTCGCTAAATATAAACCCATTTTTTTGTATAGCCAAATTGTTTACATATACTTGTATAATTTCAGTATTATCTGCCTTAGGCTTTAGGGAAACATTATTATTTGCTGCTTTATATATAGGAAAGTTTGTTTGCCTTCTGTAATATAGTATGTGTTGGTTAATATATTCCTGTTTTGAAGTAAAAAAATGCAGCAAATATAATCGGTAATACGTACGCTTACACATATAAATATTTAGATATATGTATACAATTATGATCAGGTCAACTAGTGCAACCAAACATTGGTTTAGTATTACACAAAAATAACATACAAATAAAGTCAAACATAAGGAAGAGTATTTCGTGTCAATAGAACGATTCATTAGAAAAATTATAAATTATACAAGTACAAACTTATTTCAATTAAAAAATGCATTATCAGTCTTTGCGATTGTATATAATGATAGGAATAACAAGTTTGTAGAATTTATGTAAATACTTGTATTCTTGATTGCAGAGAACCAAAACAATTCTCTACAAATAAATACTCAACATCCTTTATACAACAAAGCTGAAATGTTTAACCATGTCTTTTAATTTGTATGGTATGTAAAATTTCACATATATTTCACCTTGTAAGAGTAAAGAAATAAATATTATGTACATACATACGATTTTTGAAAAGCATGTTGCGTTAAAAGAATTAATGAGAATACTGTATAAATGTGTAATAGCAATGCCATCTCCCTTTATAATTTATCCATCGGAATAAATAAACTGATTGTTTACCAATATTAACTACACACAATTTCATCTATCATTTGCTTTACACATTGAGTTCTGTAGTCTTGTCACTCGTATAATAAACACTCTGTTGATACTGCATTACCACTGAAATCTTTGAATCGTTATGTTTTATCTTTATCACTTTTACTGAGAATTAGTAATATGTTATATTGTTGTAAAATTCGTTGACTGAATGGACAATAGAGAAAATATAAACGCAATATACAAGTTTCGTATGCGTGTAAAATTGATTACATTATATACCAGTCTTCAATCCATAAATAATTCCAAAGAGATTTTTTAATAATTGTCTACATAAAAAAAATCACGAACTCAATGGAATATACATATTTACAAGCAATTACATATAAACTAAGTAAAAGAATTAAAACAAATATATTTATATATATAAATATGTTTCCATTTGAAATGATAAAGAAAAAATGCATAACTCTTCTACTAATAATTATCAGACTCAAACGTGAATGCGTAATGGTACACTGTCCGACTTATTTTCCGCTTCTAAATTATGCTTTATGGTGTCGAGAGTATTGTAAATTGTTCTGAAAGCAGGTCTGTCTGATGGTCTCCTGTTCCAACAAAGTTTCATCAGATCGTATATAGCTTGCGGTGTGTTTTCAGGGCATTGAAGGACATTGCCTTCTTTAATGTATTTTACAACTTCCTCGTGCGTCATCCCGTAATAAGGCTGCAGCGCGAAGCTAAATATTTCCCATAAGCACACCGCAAATGCCCATACATCAGACTCGACAGTGTACTTGTTATATAATATACTCTCCAGAGGCATCCACCTAACTGGTATAGCGTCTTGTTCGTCACCTTTATAATAATCTTGCAAATAGATTTTCTGTGACAACCCGAAGTCTGCTATCTTCACGATCATTTGATCATTTATCAAACAGTTTCTCGTTGCAAGATCTCGGTGGACGAATTTACGATCCGATAAATATACCATTCCGGATGCTACTTGCAATGCGATATTAATTAAGTCCATGTGCGACAAACGCGAGTCCGTGAAGTGTTCGTTCCTTTCCAAGCTTCGAATGATGTAATTACCAGGTGAACAAGATCGGAGAAATTCGTTCAAGTCACCGCGACCCATGTACTCAAACAGAAGACACATTGGTCGACCTAACGCACATACACCTAATAGTTTAACGATATTCGGATGATCAAATTCGGCAAGTAGACACGCTTCTCGTTCAAAATCTTTGAGCAGATCCTCCGATGCTTCGTCTTTAAGCATTTTAACAGCGACGTTTGTGAATTCCTCCCCTGGAATTAGACCGGGCGCTTTTGCTTGAAACACTCTACCGAAAGCACCCTGGCCTAAATCTCGCTCGTAAATAACGTTATTTCTTGGAAATTCAAGTTTCTCCAATTTGGGATTAAGCTGTGCACTCGTCTTATGGTATGCATTGTTGCTCGGCAATTTGTCCAAATCAATAGTGATATACTGAAAATTATATACATATCATCATTTATCATTTTTAATAACAGTAGTGCAAAATATAAGGAATGCAATATGTACGATTGGAAAGACCAGACTCAGTATTATTTCTCTGGGCTTTTCGTGTCTTATACACTGTATAATTTACAGAAACAGTCGTTTATAATATACCTGATTATTCGTTGGGTTATATCCTTGATGTCGTTTGTGAAGTCTATGACTTAAAATAATCGATAATATGGTACCAGCTATAATAACCAATCCCAACGAAGATAATACCAATATAAACATTGGAGTAAACAATGTATCCATTGTTAAGTCTTTTGGATCGATCTCTAGTACTTTACTTACATTATCTAAGTTGGAAAAAAAATAAAAATAAAATGATAAATACAATTATGTTTTTTTTTTTTTTTTGTGACACTCTAACTGCATACCGCATATAGGAATATCACAATGCTGCCATCGTATCTGAGGATCCATGGTGAAACACCATGGCATTGGTTCGTCTCCTCCCGCATTCCTACAATAGTTTTTTCCATTTCGAATTTGGGGAAAAACGTCCGGCGGTCTATCATGACTATGCGGAATTTGTGCATCCCATGACTGACAATCCAAGCCAAACTTTGTTTTATTTACGTTCCCCAAATAAAATCGACCATTGCCTTTAACACAGTTATCTGAAATAATACGCATTTAAAGAGTCAAAGACACCTTGTTGAATCATAAGTATACTAATCTCAAGATTGTTTTACATGTAACATGGTCTTCGTTCATATCGGTCAAATGAATGTGAGAACAGGTCATTTTTCCTTTGACTACTTTTGGTAGTGATTCGCATTCTGGCAATGTAAAGTGTCCCCGTGATCTGATATAAATCTCCCTCTGTTTGTTATCTTCTATCATTGCCCAATCATTAAAACAAAATTGATGACGTACTGCCATGCAGTCTTCGTAACACAATGGTAGACCAACCGAATTGTGACATTGTGGAAAGGCATACATACATAGCATTTTCTAAAATAATAACGTGTTATTTATGTATGTTTGAATATATAATAGACTAAGGATCAATATATTTCATTTTTTTATATTAATAAATGTTACCTCTGCTGCTGAACGACATGGTTCAAACAGTTTTTGTATCAATTCTTCCCATAAATTGGTTGTGATCTGTTCATTTAACAATCCTCCGGGATTATTGTTAGAATCGTTAAACCATACTTTTCCAATACCAGCTAAATACTTCTTGCATATCTTTCCGCTATAAGGTGCACAATAACCTTGAGATTCTGGTTCTACAAAAAAGATAAGCTTAAACTGAAAATTTCCTTCTTCATTTTGTGACAATTTATATTTAACTTGCTATGAAATACGTACTGGTATGCACAGAACTGAAATGCAAAATGATTGCTACCAGAGTAACAATCCAGAACACCATTATTTAAATGTATTGCTCGAAAGAGTGTCGAGACAAAAAATATCACATGTTTAAAAGAAAATTTACTGCTAGAAAAATACGCGGATGCCGGTATCCACTTAATTTACATTGAATTGTATCGTATCCATAGTAAAATTTAAATATTTTTTAACGCATAATTGATTATAATGATCCATTTTACGCTAGACGAACTTTCACGTGTTTTTCGTCTTATTCTACGATCACAGAATGAATATTATAATTATCGATTGTAATTTTTCAAACTGTTTTCAATGGGGGCAGTACGATAATTCAACAAAAATAAAGTCAATGAACCGAGCTACAGCATGAAACACATAATTCGTTATGCGATCAGCGTCATTCGAGTATCCTAGGAGAAATTTTCGTTTCCTCCTTTATCATATGGGCGATAAACCATTGCACCGTGAATATTCTCTTTTATTTACAATACCGATACGACGAACAAATGGTAAATTTGTTCGTTTTGTAACGAACGTAAGTAGCTGCTAATCTAACGGAAATTTGGAACTAGAACGTTAGACGCATTCGATAATCGAGAAATCGTTCGATCGCTTCATCGTGTATCCAGTATCTAGTAACAGTAATGTAAATTAATTTATATGAGTATTAGTAAGTAAAATTATTAAAATTATTTATAATTTCAATTGTACTTGAAAGTAGTTATACATTTCTGATGCAAACATCGATAATGGAAGTAGTTTCTTTTAGGAACTTTTTCGCAAAACGTTGATACGATTGGATTTGGAAGTAAATGCGCGGGAATGAACATTTCGTTCGGTACTTGAAATTTGTGTCTTTGTCGACGAAGGGATATGGTTTGAAAAAGGAAAAGCATGCAGGCTTTTCTAAAAACAGGAAAATTGGGACCCGGAGAACCTAAAAAGCCTTCAAGTTCACGTGTAAAGGAAGAACGTAGCGGTCCTGCACCGCCATGGGTAGAGAAATAGTAAGCGTTATTCATCGAAATAACCTCAATCGTTGAAATGTTTGGAAATCATTATTTTCGAATTTAAGATTTTTGTATTTCTACAGCCGTCCGAAAACCGTGGAAGATGTTGTCGAACAAGGAGAAGTAGTCGAAGTATTAAGACAATGTTTAAAGGGCAATGACTTTCCAAATTTGTTATTTTATGGTCCACCAGGAACTGGAAAAACAAGTACTATATTGGCAGCAGCCAGACAACTGTTTGGTAGCCTCTACAAAGAGAGGATATTAGAATTAAATGCCTCGGATGAAAGAGGTATTCAAGTTGTGAGAGATAAAATCAAATCATTTGCTCAACTTACAGCAGGTGGCATGAGAGACGAGTATGTATATTTTTATATTATATTAACAGGAATACTAAGATACCTATTATTTTATGAAAAATCTATGATGTATAGTAAAAGGTTTGAGAATTATATTAAAGCTGCGCGTGTAGATTGTTCGGAGAATATAGTTGTTGTCAGGAGTTGTAACAAAGGTATTTAGCAACTCTTATTACCAACTAAAAAACAAAATGCTTTAGGCAGACTATCCCAAAAGTATAGTAAAGTTTTAAATTTTTGGTCCTGCTTTATAAGCAAACAATTAAATAGAATATTATTCTTTGATAATCTTGCACGTCGCTCTTGTAATCTCTATGATAACGGCACAATCTGAGGTATTGCATACATAATAGGTGCTTACAAAATCGAAGGAACATTTGTTACAATGTCAACACGTTTTTTCAGTGGGAAAAGCTGTCCGCCATTCAAAATTATTATCTTGGACGAAGCGGATAGCATGACGAACGCGGCGCAAACAGCTCTTCGTCGTACTATGGAAAAGGAGTCTCACAGTACTCGCTTTTGTTTAATTTGCAATTACGTGTCAAGAATTATAGAACCGCTAACATCGCGCTGTACAAAATTTAGGTTCAAACCATTGGGAGAAGACAAAATCGTCGATAGATTAGAGCATATATGCAAGCTAGAAGATTTAAAAGCAGAAAAGCCTGTTCTATTGAAAATTGTCGATGCCTCTGGCGGAGATTTAAGACGTGCTATAACATGTTTACAATCTATTACAAGGTTAAAGGGACATGGCATCGAGATCACGGTGAACGACGTTCTTGAAATAATAGGTGTAAGTATTTTCTTTTATTGGTAGTACACGTTCAGTACCGACATTGATTTCACGTAACATGATCAAACGATTATAGATTGTTCCAGATAAATGGTTGGATGAATTATTGGAAGTGTGCAAGACGAAAGACTACGGTAAAGCTGAAACTTTTATCGATCAATTTATGTTGGAAGCGTACGCTACGTCTCAAGTAAGTTATATTTGTCTAGATTTGCAATCAGAATATTGCAACATTTAAAATTTTAATTCTTTTTGTAGGTTATAGAACAACTTAGCGAAAAAATTATATATTCCAACGAATTATCGGACAAGCAAAAAGCATTGATCGCAGAAAAGCTTGGGGTAAAGATTTCTAATTATTTTTGCGATACAAATAGTATTTATTATTCATTTTTTCATTTTTGCATTTAGGAATGCAACTATAGATTGTTAGATGGCGGAAGTGAATACATACAACTCGTAAATCTTTGTTGCGGGATAATAAAAGCTTACGAGATAGTCTAAGTATTTATAGTATTTAACTGTATAACAATGTACTTGGTCATTTTATCAGATTATTTTCTGTACGAATAAATATTTATAATTTTTCTACAAACTGAATAATTTTGATTTCAGAATTAGTGCAAGGATATTACGAATTTTACATTCCCTGTATAAGTCCAGTTCCCCTAGTATTTGTGACATAGCGTAATTAATTTAACCCCTTTGGATCCGATGATGATACATGTGTTTCGTATGTCCGTATATAAACATACATACTTGTAATATTTATCTCGTCGAATAATTTTTCGTTTTTAAATAAAAACGTTTGAAATAAATATATATATAATATATAATTTGAATTTTCCCCCAAATTATAACGTATAGATGGCGTTTCGTTCGTGCATGTTGGACAACTATAGAATAACGAGAGCCTGGCGGCGCTCTCTGTCGGTGTGCGGGGACGTCGCGGTTTGAGAACCGCTGCGATCGGCGTGTAGGGGCGTCGTTGCTGCGTGCAATGTGTATCGTGTAGGCGTTGGCGAGGAGGAGACAAGTACGGGGATGTGTCCGTAAAAAAGCTGCGGTTTCTGCGTACTCTGCCGCACGTGCATGCTCGAAATCGTGTTCCGCGTACGACGGATACCCGAGCGGATCTTACTCGGGTGGGTGTATCGCCGTCGGTCGAGGCTGTTCCGCGAACGGACCTAACAATCACGGGGAGCAGAAAAAAAAAGTGCGGCCCGTGTTCTTTCGCTTCTCGACGGAGGCCACGTATCGTGCGTGCGTATCTCGGTTGGCCTTGTCACGGGGACGTTGTTCGGATCCAGGGGGTGCCGTCGACTGGCCTCGAGGAGACGGTGGATGGAAACGACGCCCGTAGCAGGATGCCAGGACGTCTCCATCACAGGGCCATTGAGACGGTCAGTGCTACTCGCGCGAGTTAATTCTGGAGTCCGGATCTGCTGGAAACGAACGCATCGCATCTACGGAGAAACGTAGTCACGGATACTCGGAATAAGGATAGAACGCGTGCGCACGCTTGTGTGTGTGTCCTGCGTGTGTGTGCGCGCGCGTGTGTGTGTGTGGGAGATGTTCGGAATCTTGAGAGATCCTGATGCGGGAGGATTCGATTATCAGCGGCTTAGATCGAACGTATTATCGCACGCCGGATTCTTCGACGTACGAAACACTCGCTGACTCTGCGTTTCCCCGGCGAGGAGGACAGTTCGTTGCTCGCTGCCACGGAGAACTTTATCTACCCACGCCGCGATCCGAGCGATTTTTCGACCGCGGCAGTGAGTCAGTTCCCCTTCGTATACGAGAAAACTATACGACTGACGACAAAGGATACGTCTCGAAGAGATTCCCAGTGGCTCTCCCGTTTGCGTCGGAGGCTCGATGATAGTGGCGCAATTGACAGTGCGTTTCGGCCCGTTTTATCTACTTGACCAGCGTGGACCTCTCGGAAGAGGATCGCGTGGAGGAGATTCGCGTGCTTGAAACGTCTACGGAGAGGAGACACGCGTGTACGTTGCGTGGACAGGGTGTATGTTATATGGGAAACGCGTCCCGTCGATCAGCCAGGAAAACGGAGTCGCGGATCTATCGCTGGCTACGGCGTCGTGCGTCAACGATTCTTGGAATGTGACGGGCGACTCCCGCCGTGGGAAATATCGTAGAAAAGGTGAGCAATTTGAATGTGGCGACGAGTCGACGGCTAGACTCCGTCCTATCGACTTCGCGATACGATGCGAACTGTCACCGGCACCATTCTATGCTTAGCGATACTCGTTCTTTTTTTAACCTGTAAATAGTTACACTAAACGTATTAATTTCCGATATCTAACGCGGTTCTTAGGCACAACTGTAGATAAGGGTTATTAATTCACAACGTTTTATCTAAACGAACGTTTATTCGCGATAAACGAACACAGTCGAAAATGAGTAATAATTATCCGGATAATCTATCTAGATAAAATTGTTTTATTCAGGTGGATATAGTATTTGAAGTTATGTGAATAATGGTCAACTCTGACTGCTAACGTGGCTCACGTAGTAGGAGGTAGTACTCGCGATAGTATCGGTAAAATGTAAATACGAGTGCCCGCGACTCTTTTAAAAACAATTCGAAGAATCGATGTTCCATGCGTTCGAAGTGAACCTTGTAAGTTTTGAACTCCGTGATTGTGGAAAACTACCGGGTCGTGATAAACAAAACGATATCGATGTATCGCTTAGCAGCGTCAAGGCGGATTCGACATTCGAGATATTTGAATGCGTTTTTTTGTCATTTCTGCAGATTCGGTTGATCCTATAGTAGTCGTCCAAGTCGAGATTAAGACGTAGAATAAATAGCGTAGACAAAAGATCGATGGATGGTATTATCCGTTACGTCACCGTGAAGTCATCAATAGACGGACATCGGTGGCATTAGCTAATATTACGATTAGTTAACGATCGATACGAGCATCGGTGACGAGTCTAATCTATCGACAGGTGACCGCTGAGAAGTAATCATTGTTGCTAATACACGCTACGATGACGCGAAATCGGAATTGTCGCTAGTCCGTCGTCCTCTGACGTTTAAGCAACGGAAGTTTGTATTTTGAAAACTTGCAGCGACGATCGACGCTATGCCAGGGACACTTGTTACTCATACAATGACATTTGTCGAGTAATCGCAGACGTTGGTTTGTTTTGGAGCGTGCACGGTACATATCGATGCGTTCGCGCGCTTTTCGCGTGTTTGCTCCGCAATTTAAAGCGCTCGAAGAAACGATAGGAGAGTGTAGAATCGATCTAAACGAACTTAACCTTTTCGACCTTGAATTCATTTCCTTTGAACGAGGAAAATATTCTTTGCGTGCGCAACTTTAGAAAAAGGAGCACCGCTCGTTACCGAGGTGGTCATAACGTGCGTGAACGCTTAATAATTAATAATAACGCATGCGAGCTGAAACTCTGGCAGCAAGAGAACTCCTAATGAGAGCTCGTAAAGCGAAATGCATCGGAGCGAGTTATTTCTTTCAGAGAGGTTGTACTCGGGATGCGTCTTGTTTACTCGACGCCGACGCTTTTGCTGCTGTTCGGATCCGGCAAGATAAGGAGACCAACTTATGCCGTTTTGGGCTAGACACGCCAGACCACGCGGGTACTTTTCGTTGGAAATTAAGATAACAAGCGACTCAAGTGGCCGGCTATGAGAAGAATAGGATAAATAATTGTTCGAAGGAACTTTGAGAAAATTGAAAACAATCTCAAAGAAGATCCATTTTTTTTTATATCGCGCTTAAAGTGATTTCGATATGTAAATATTTACATATAATGGTAGCCTTTGAAACAATTTTACAATGACAAGCCTAGCCGGTTTTGTTGTTTCTGGATTCGTTGATCACAGTGGGCAAACGAGGATAATCTTTCAGCTACTGTCGGCGTCCATAAACCGCAAGCTTCGTTTACTTGAAATCGTGCAGCTACACAACATTTGTTTTTTTTTTTTTTTTTTTTTTTTATCGAGTCACGTAGAAAGGACCGTCTCGAACAGCGACGTTCATAGTTAGTTATAAACACGCGTAACGTCGATCGGTGAGCTACGAGGAGCTAGCTCGACGTTGCAATAAACAGTCACGAGTAACGTTAACAACAGACAGAGAAAAAAAGTGAAAAGTATCCGGCGATCGTTTCACGGGATAAAGTCCATTTAATTCGTAATCGAACGGTCGCGGTTCAACAATGCTTTGAATCGAACGGATTCGAACGGTGTGTCCCCTTTGGCCGTATGCCTCTCGATAGAACTGGCCAGCTCGTTATATTCAGCGTTCGAAGTGACCGAAACGGCGACGGGCCGCGATTGTACACCACGGAAATGACGTCGGTGACGGTGTCACGCGTTCTGGTCCCATTTGCGAGCCCATCCCGCCGATGCGACGGCCGAACGTCGTTTACAAATCGATTACTTATATCGACGCGAACATATGAAGTACGAAGAATAGAAGGATCGCTATGATAAAAGAACCAAAAGGTCTGTCGAGAGACCTGCGTTAGCGGGGATTAAATTCGATCGGAATATCGACCAGCTTCTTCGTTGAGACCTTTACGAGTCCTCTCGCACGCTTAATTCGAATTTTCTCGATATCGTTCGACAAAACAGTTAACGATCGACGATCGAATTCACCGAGAGATCAATAAGCCGCGAGTACCTTATCATTTCGTCGTTAAAGAATTATTTAACAAAAAAAATCGAGGCTCTTCGTATCAACGGCGATTAGACTGTGAGTAATAGGTCCAGCTCTCGCGATTGATAACCGAGAGATAATTGTCACGGTTATCAATTTTATCGACTTCAACGGAAACGAATAACGTTGCGATACGGTTGCAAGGAATAACGGCGTACTCGATGCAGCTTTTCAAAAAAATATCGTGCATTTCAAAACTTTCGTTCGTCGAATAACAATATTCATAGATTATCGTTACAAGTTTTACTTGATCGAAGTTTGGCGGTCGCGACCTCCCGTCCTTCATGGATCGATCGTCCGCCGATTAAATCTCGATCGAGCGCGGCGCAGACGCTCGCACGCGGCCGCTGTTTGTCCGCTAGTAATGACCGAGTGTATAATTTACGAAAAGAACGACGGAGAGACCTCGACCGGCTCGGCCATTCAGGTGAATAAAACCGACAGTGGTCCCACGGGACAGGGCGTAGGAAACGAATTCCATACATTCTTCAAGAGTTTCCTTCGAAAGAATGGGACCCGATTATCGTCCACCGTTCATCGGGGACAGCGAGACTCGTTATTGTTTCAAATCTCGACGCGCCAGTTTGCCGAGTTATATACAATATGTATTGTATATATACTTTGACTAGATACGTGCTTCGACTACGATTGAACGCTTGGGAAAACGGTCTCGTTTCCGCGTTGCGTAACATTTGCTAGGAAGTCATCGTCCGTTGTAATTGCATACCGTGTATATTTGCATTCCGAGCGGCGCGCTTCGAGCCGAATCTTGGCCAGATGAGTTTATTTACGACTTTGATCGTTCGCGCGTACTCGGAAGTGCACGACCGGTGTACGCGCGTTCGCCGCGCGATAAGTCGCGCGTGTCACGGCACGGCACGGTTCGTGGTTCCGAGTGCACGAAAGACGGCAACGACTAATATAAGAGGTGGAGCCTGGGCCCAGACGCTGGAAACTTAAATTAGGCGTCTCGGGGCGACATAACGCGCGACGCTAATTAGACGCCACGGATTTACCGCGACCGAGACCACCGAGTGGTTGAACTAGTTTCGG